TCGGGACAAACCACAGGGACTGAGCGTGAGATGGTGTGATTCCCTAAGAAAACGTGGGGTGTGTGGGGAGAAGGAAATGGGCAGGGCCAGGAAAAAGGACATCTCCTGTAACACCGATCCACACCGACTTCATGGCACCATCTTTGATGACAGCATACAATTTTCCGCCAGAAGATGACTAAGGGCTACCAGACCAACCCCCAGCGCACACCTTTAGGTTGCTTGCAGCTTGTTGCTGTCACACAGCGCGCTGTAAAGAAAGTCCCAACACTACATCTTTGCCCGCATCCTTCAGGAATTCTCCCGAACCAGCATAGAGCAGTGATTGAGCTTTATGAACTGCGTGATTCTGGGACTCCAGGCAAAACTGTGAGAGAAGCCCCACTTGGTTTTTTCTTCCCCCTAACAATTCTAAGCTCCTGTCTCCTCATGTCTTGACTCCCCGGCCTCTGGCTGCAAAGGACCCCACCCCCACCCCGAGGCTGGTTCAGACAGTGAAGTAACTTCTCCTTCTTTTCCAAAACAAAACTCTCATTTTAAAATGCGGCTGATCTCATTTTGAAGGAAAGCAAGGTAAATATGTGGATAAAGTGAACCCCAAGGATGCTGCAGCTGAGCTCTCTTAAGTGTGGGACGTGCAGGGGTGGGCAGAGGTTTCTCGAGTAGGGAGGGAAGCTTGGCTGTCTCTCATTTTCCTCAGGCTTATCCTCCCTCACCCCCTAACCCCACAGGTGATCAGGAATGCACCCCCTTCTGAAAGGCGAAAGGCGGCCTCCCCTTTCCTGAGCATTCGCCCTTGTGCAAATGTGGTCGCCCTTGCTGAGAAGGGGAAACAGGGATCCGAGCAAAGCTAAGCATGAGCTAGAATCTTGTTCTGATTGTCATTTTGCAAATGACCCGTAAAGCTAATAAATATTTGACACTTTCTTGGCCTGAGGCAGGATGCTTCAATAAATGATTGTGACATGTATAGAACACTTTATCCGCTCCTAAAGTGGGCAATTCCAACACTGAAACAGGAATTAGAACATCACTCCTAGAAGCAGGTGAGTCGGCAACTCACCTCATTCCTCCCACGAACAGATCCTACTTAAAAAGGCCATTACCGCATATATCCAGAGAAAACTCTAATTCAAAAGGATCCATGCACCCAATGTTCATATCAGCGCTATCTACAAGAGCCAAGACATGGAAACAACCTAAATGTCCATCAACAGATACTGGATAAAGAAGTTGTGGTATATTTATATGACAGAATACTACCCAGCCATAAAAGAGAATGAAATGCCATTTGCAGCAACATGGATGGACCTGGAGACTGTCATTCTAAGTGAGAAAGACAAATATCACATGACATCACTTACATATGGAATCTAAATGAATGATGCAAATGAACTTATTTACAAATCCGAAAGAGACTCAGACACAGACAATAAACTTACAGCTACCAAAGGGGAGAGTGTGTATGTGTGTGGAGCGGTGCTAAATTAGGAGTTTGGGATTAGCAGATACACATCACTATATATAAAATAGATAAACATCAAGGTTCTACTGTTTGGCACAAGAAACTATATTCAATACCTTATATTAACCTATAATGAAAAAGAATATATATACTTATAGTACAGACTTCCAGCTTCAGATGAGTGAATTCTGGGGATCTAATGTATAGAATGGTGATTATAGTTAACAACACTATCTTGCATCCTTGAAAGTTGCTAAGAGAGTAAATGTTGAATGTTCTTACTATTAACAACAACAGAATGGTAGTTTTGTTAATCGAAAGATGTTTAACCTTACTGTAGTAATCATTCTGCAATATATACGTGCCATGAAATAGCCACACTGTAAACCTTAAACTTACACAGTTTTACGTGTCAGTTATATCTCAATAAAGCCGGAAAAAAACACAAAAAAATTAAAAAATAAAGAAGAAAGATAAAATAAGGGTTAAAAAAGCCAATACTCTTTCCTGTGAAGCAGCAGATGACAACATGCACTCAGTCCACCCACCAGGTTGCTGGGAGAATTGTGTGAGCCAGTAATGGAACATATCAAGTACTGTATAAACATGGGTATATCTGTTGTTTCAAAGCCCTTAGAGGAAGAAAAATACTTTTATAAACTCATAGAAACGTGTAGAATTAAGCACTGATAAACCTCTTCGTCTAGTATAACCCAAGTCAAAGCTATAGAATTTTACATTTTCTTCTAGTAAAGGCCTATAAGCAAAATATTCAAATTCTGTTCTCAGTGACAAGTCCAACTGTCAAAAGATGAGTTCAGAACCCAGAGGATTTATGTTCAAGCATATCCCGAGCCCTGAGATGAGTCTGGACTGCTTCATTTAGCCTCAGGAAATCAGAAGGAAATATTCGCATGTTAAAAGCACTGTCCCAAGAAAAATTCCACAGGATGCTCAAAGTTCTCTGATCTTTCAGACGGAAAGCTAGGATACAGGTTCCACTCTTTTCTTTAGCAAATCTTTAAGGAACTCCTTTGACTCAGGGGCCAGATTAGGTGCTGGTTACATCAGAAATGAGACACAGCCCTTACCCTCAAGGAGCCTCTGGTCTAATGGAAGGAATAAGTGAATAAAGGCAGTGTGGTCTACGTGCTCAGTTAGACAGACCCTGCTGACAGAGTGTGCTCCCTCTGCTTGGTTGTGGTGGGTGTGTCTGAGTGTGAACACACATCCCTGGGCCTGGACTCTGGAACCCCAGTCGCTGCTCACAGGTCTTTTTTTGTTTGTTTGTTTTTCTTTTAATTGAAGTATAGTCAGTTTACAGTATTGTGTCAATTTCTGGTGCACAGCATCATGTATCAGTCATACATGTACATACATATATTCCTTTTCATATTCTTTTTCATTGTAAGTTACTGCAAGATATGGAATATAGTTCCCTGTGCTCTACAGTAGAAACTTGTTTATTTTATATGTAGTAGTTAGTCTCTGCAAAATCCAGACTCCCAGTTTATCCCTTCCCACCTCATTCCCTCACTGGTAAACATGAGTTTGTTTTCTACATCTTACAGGTCTTTTTGTCCCTTGGGATTGTACTGAACCCAATTTCCATCTCCTTCAAGACAAAGGAAAACTACCTTGCGAATTTCCCTGCGAACAGAACATGCCGGGCAGGATCCCGGTACTCAGCCACTTCTAATGTTATGACTTCGGTTTTCATAGTTTGGGTGAGGGAGTGGGGGAAAGTGGTTTTTGGATCTCATACAGTTTTTTTTTAAGGAGTCAGATTATTCAAATCAACTTGAAGTGAAGCAAGCACTGGGCCAAGCCACACCCCCAGCTCTGCAGGTACCCTAATCCTGACCTGCAGGCCCTGTCACCCCCTGCCGAGGCTGTCAGTCATTCTTAGTCACAAGCAGGCGCTCCCAAATGATGAGACCAAACTCGTCTTTCCCAGTTCCTTAAGTCAAAGCTTCACATTTTATTGTTAATGTAATTATTTGTTTAGTTGTTTGCTGCTCTAAGGGAATATCTTGTACCAAGAGTACAGCTGACCTATAAGGCACCTTCATGTAGATCCCTCAGGAAAGTCCCCTTTGGACAGGTCGGGTCCGATGGGGCTCCCTGGGAAAGTGCCTGGTGGCCTGAACTCTGAAGGACTTCAGCCCCATCCACCCTCCGCAGATTTGTGCAGTGTGCAAACTGCACAACAGGGTGGCAGCCCGGCATAGGTTCTGTATCCCAAATGTTTTGCTTTGGCTCTAGAGAGCACATAACTTCTGTATTAAAGCAATGATGATGTATGCCAACTACATTTCAGCTGAAAAAACAATGCTGAATGTTTAAAGGATTGCGTTATTGTGGGGTTATCATTTTCCTTTCTTCTGCATACTTTTCTTTATAAAGTGCCCAAGGAAGTGTGATTAATAATGTATTTCTTAAACTTACCAAAGTAAAACTTATCTTGCAGATCCTGATATTAATTTTGATCTCATGTTCTGCTCCCTCCCTCCGTGGTTTTTGATCCTAGGTTTTAAAGGGTACGTGTTAACACTTCTTCGTCTCATTTCTCTTCCTGTCCCTGCCATCCACCCCACCCCCACTCCCGCCCCAAATAAAACTGTTGGGAAAGGGAATCGCCTTTACACCATCAAGTCAAGATTTTAAAGCTGAGTCCTAGGATGCCTTCTTTGCTCCACAACAATTTTGAAAGGAGACTACAGAGTTTCGCAACAGCCAGCCTAGGGAAATCCTGCCACACTCTGCTTCTATTTGGGCGTGGGGAGTCCGGAGAACTGGTCAAATGGAGGGAGCTCCAACAGGCACTATTACTAACAATGCAGCGACCCCCAAATCCCAAGTGTCCACTGCGTTAGGGAAGAGTTGCATTGCACCCAAAGTGATCCTCAGGGCTGACCATTTGTTAATTTGATGTGTCATAATTCCTGGAGACTTCCACCGCTGGGCCATGAAACTTAAAAGTTGAACCAGCAAGTTGCAGAATAGGCAAAGCTAAGAAGCCAGTTCCTCAGGGATAATTACAGGATGCTTAATCAGGGAGAGAGTAATTCCTCTTATCCTGGCACTGGAGGAGAAAATACGTGCAACTCAGGAGCAGGGCAGTCAGGTAGGGTGATCCGGGATGGGCTGGCTGGATAATAAGCTTTTGTTGAGCGAATGCAGGAGCCTCTGGGGCGGGGCAGCTTTCAGAGGCCGTCAGCTGTGACAGTTCACCTCCCAGCGCACCATCTGCCCAGGACTCTCTCTTTAGGGGAGACATAGATGCTTTCAGGGAGTGGAGAGCAGCGGGGGTGGGGTGGGGGAAGGCTGGCAAGAACCAGGGACAGCTCTGTTGGCGGGGGCTCCTGCCTGTTTTATATTACCACGGCGACTGAGTGTTGAAGCATGCTCCCCAGACGATGTTACAAATACACATAAACAGACATTCAGATACATTCAGTGAACACTTTCTCCTCGCCAGGGGTAAGGAAAACGTTTAAAAACTGCAGGGCTTCCCCCTACCCCCCTGGAAAGGATGCCCAAAGGTTCTGGCAGCCTGGGCGAGGGTGGTTGGATTGAGGAGCTGCCTGGGAAGGGCGGGCGGGCGTCGCCAAGACATTCCCAGACTGTCCCGGACCCCCGACTCGGGATCTCACCCGGCGAGTGCCTGGAGGAGACCCTAGCAGGGGCCGACCGGGAGGAGGCAAGAGTCTAGTGGAGAGGTAGATGTGGGCGGGGGCACAGAGCTGCAGCCCAGAGCAACCAGCGATCGCAGGGTGGGTGGGGGCGGTTTGTAAAAAGACATGAGTGCGGGGCACTGAGCAGCGGCCCTGAGAAGGGGCGAGAGCTTGTCTGAATCAAAGGTGTGTCGACAGAGGAGCTGGGAGTCTAAACCGCGGGGAGCTTGAATCTATGCGGATTCTGTTCAAGAGGGGAGCTGGTCTTGAGAAAAAGGTGCAAAAAAAGAAAAAGTGAAAACAGTGGCGGGGTGCGACGGGTAGAGCACGGCCGTCCGGCGCGCGGACACCCTCTGCCCCCCGGGTGCTCGGACGGGCGCGGGTTTTGGCCTCCCAA